CCCCCAGTGGCTTGAGCACGTGGGGCCCGTTTCCCTCCCGCTTCCCCCGGCGCGACCTCCGGCCTCCAGACGTTTGGTGTGCGGTTGTTTGTGCGGTTGCTGGTATCTCATCTCCCCATCAGTCACATCCCCCCTCGGTGGTGAGTCACCCAGCCGTACCTCTTCCCCTCTCTTGTGCCGTTTTGGAGAGCTGAGCGAAGATGAAGAAGATGTTTCAACTGGGCTGACACATCTGCACCCGCCAAGTTCCTCTAATAACAGCCCTTAGTGATTTATGTCTGTTGTGCAAAGCAGGTACGTTTTACCAGCTCATCTTGGAGCTGGGAAGGAGACGGGCGTGCATCCCCACTCTGTGCCTGTCCGCGACACCCAGTGGAGCTTCACAGGGGGACCTGAGCCGGGACATTTGTTTTGACTGCCAGCTCTCACCTTCCTGCAGGGTTGAGGTGGCCCAAGGGGTGATCTCTGTGCCCTTTAAACCCTGTTAACCCTCTGAGCAGGGCTGCTTTGGATCGTGTGCCCACGCTGGCAAAGTGCTCGTGTGAGATGCATGTTGGCGGTGCCTTTCTCAGGTGGCCAGAGACCATGCTGGTGGGCACACACATTTGACATGGCTTGGCACGGAAGGGAGGGGGGGCACAGCCAGCAGCGCTGCCGATTCACACCTCCTTGCCTGTGCCATGGTGCCAGCCCACCTCTGGGCAAGCAGTCGGCTGGAGGAGCGTGGCTCAGCCTGCCCAGACCTGTCGGCGTGTCCCTGGGCGAAGCAGATCTTGCGCTGGTTCAGCAAACACTCTGGCCCCGGGCAGATGGAGATGGTTGTGGTTTCCCCCTTTCCCCTCCCTTTCTCCTGGCAGAAGCCCATGGTTGGGGTGAGCTGTGCGTTGCTCACTGCGGTAGAGTTTCTCCCCTTGGCATCACTTTCTGGCGCAGAGATCCAAGGAGGGAGCGACTTGCCCGCGGCCGCCTCCTGCTAATGCAGCTACTTAGTGCGTGAAGGAGCAGCTTCACCTCCAGGTCATGCCCAGGGGAGCGGAGCAGCAGGTTTCAGGCTGTGTGCGAGTCTTACGCCAGTCCAGCATTGCTGCTGGAGGGCTGTACGGAGGAAGGGGTGCTCTAGCAGTGCCTCGGGGTTGGATTTGCATTGGGTTCATCCTCAGGAAGGCTGTGGCTTAGGTTCCTCCTCCCTGCCCCGGCTCTGGTTCCTGGCAGGGAACGGGGCAGGTAAATACAGCTCGGGCAGCTTCTCCTCCAGGCATTTAGGAAGGGAAAACAGTGTTGCTGGTAAACCGGAGGCCGGGGTTTGGGTAGCTCTAAGGTTTTGCTGCTGGTCGACTGGGTGGGGCAGACAGGTCTTCACACCTGTGCCTCAGTTTCCCCACCTACAAAGCTTTGGGATGCGCTTTGAGCTCCCATGCTGGGCTTACTCCTCTCCCAGGAGCAGCACTGCTGTCGTGGCTTGCAGCGGGCACTGGGAAGGGCTGTGTGATGCGAGGTGGCTTTGGGGCTTGGCTGGTGACATCAACTTGGTTCTGCTGCTGCTTCCCAGCCAGAGTGGTGACAGTGTCCCATGGGATCCTCAGCCTGTCACCCTGAACCTGTCTGCAGCTTGGACTATATGTGAAGCTGCCTGTCACTGCTCTGCTCCCTGCCGGGGTTTCGCCTGCCTTTTGGCCACTGTCATGCACAGTCCCTTGTCCCCTCATTCTTTCGACCAACCTTCCCACTCCTTCTCCTCCTGCAGCCCCGGGCTGAGGCTAGGTCCCAGCAGTGGCATGTGATGATGCTGGTTGCGGAGGAAACCCCGGAGCATTTGGGACTGACCCTATGTTATCCCTGGGTAGGGTGAGGTGCTGCAGGCAGGGAGCTGCCCCGGTAGGACCAGAGATGTAACCGGTACCAAAGTACCTCTTTGGGTACCAGTACCTTAAGCTGTGTGTGGTTGTTCCTGTGCTGGATGGCAGGACCGTATCATGTCTCCTTCCTGGAGCACTGCAGGTGGCTTCATGTCCTTGCACTGTGTACAAGCAGGGACGTGCCATGGGCATCTGCGCACGGCGATGTCTGCAGTGTGGGATGTGTCTCGCCGTGGTCTCCATGCTGGTGCTCTCGCCTGCTGGAGCAGCAGCAGCTGGTAACGAGGTCTGGCTGGGAAAAGGGGCTCACGTGGCGATGGCTGGGGCTGGGGCCACCGGGCTGGCGTGGCGCAGGGTGCTCCAGGGGGTTTGTCATGCGACAACCATGTGCTCTGCCAGATGGGACTTGCGTTCCCTCGGAAATGCGTCGCTCCTGCTCCAGATGCTCGCCAGCCCAGCCATGCTGGAGCAACACGGTGGAGGTGGCAACGGCTGAGGCGAGCGTGCTGTGGAGTGGAGCTGCTCACAGCTAACTTGGGGTAGGTGCTCCTGGGTGCTACCTGGTGCTCTCCAGCCCTGGAATAAGAAAAGGTGTTTGGAAATGCTGCAATGTGAAGGTTTTGGGATTACCAAGGAGAGAGGTGAATGTGTGTGTGCTCTCGGTGCCTTTACAGCATCCTGCACAAGATTAAATGGCAAGTTCTACGTGCTGGGTACGGGCTCGGCATTGAACTTCATGGGCACAGCAGGTCTCCTGGTCCTGCCGCTGGAGGGTTGGCGTGTTCGGGTGATGGTGCTGGGAGCTGCTGGGTGATGGATCTGGGCCAGGAGCTGTGCAGAGCACCGCGTCGGAGAAGCACATGTGCCGGGATGCAAAACATGTATGCGAAAGAGATCCCGGCTGTCTAAATAATGTGAAATATTGACTAGTCTCACAGATGGTGCTCCACGTGCAGCTCTGGGGACTGAACTTCCCTGTCTCCTGTTGATTTTTGGATGTGATGTTGTTTTGATCCAGTTGGATGCTGGACTCTTGACAACCTCGTTTCCTGGTTGCTTTCAGTGAGGTCGTTGAATTTTGGGGAAGTTTGTTGCTAATGGGGTCTGACGAGAAGGGAGGAGGGTTGCAGAGGGCTTGACTGGCTCTGTCAGACTCTCCTGATGGCTTTTAATCGGTTTTTAAATGATGGCACCAACTGGGATGCTGGTTCTCGCAGCGCGTTGGGGTTTGTAGCGTTGCGCGGGTGCCATTTGGTGGCAGTGTTGCAGAGGAATTGCTGCCCGTAGCCAAGAGCTTGTGTTTTATGACCACTATTACGGTGATTGTGTTCACTGATGAAATGCTGCTGCTGGTTATTTGCATGAGGACGTTGCTGGGAGGCCCCAGTGTCCAGGACATAATCCAGACCGTTGGCAGCAGGGCCTGGGGGACATACTGCCTTCGTCTCAGCTCATGGATGGGTGGCAGGTTTTCTGCTCTGTTTTGCCTTCCTTTGGGATAAGATGATGGTTTTGGATATGTGAAATCGTGCTTTATGTGAGCTGCTGGGGAGGATGCTCTCTGGTTTTCCCCAAAGCCCATACCCACTGCTGGGCAGCTGTAGCGGAGACAGGCTGTGTTGGCAAAGCTGTGCTGGGAAGAGGGTCTTGTTGCTGCTTGGGAGGTGTGTTGGGGAGTGTCCTCACCCACAGGTTGCTGTACTGGTGATAAAGCAGCTTATCTGCCAGGTGGTTTGGTTGTTCAGCCTGCTCAGAAAGCAGCGTTCTCGATTTGCAGCCCACCGGCTGTGAGGTTAGAGCTGGGGGACCCGCAGTGGGGTCCCTAAAACGGTGACCCCGCACCGCGCTCCCCGCCGCGGGCTGTGCGCCTTGCCGCACGCGTCCTCGCAGCCGCCGTTCCTGGCGCGCGAAGGACCGACAGCCACAACAGTCTGTGCTCCTGCGGGGCTCGTTCCAAGGCGACGTGCCGCTTGGGCTCAAACATGTTTCCCTCTTCTGTTTCCCGTTTTCTGCAGGCTTTTCCCATCTGCCTAACGGGCTCTACCCGTCATACATTCCCCTGAGCCACCTCGAGCCCCCCAGCGCCGGCAGTCCTCTCCTGGCCCAGCTGGGTCAGCACAGCCTCTTTGAGTCACAGAAAGGTGAGTCTGAGCCCCCATTCGCCATTCCCCTCGGTCACCTCTGGGTGCTTGCCCTGTCCTTGGGGCTTGCTGGGTGCTGGGATGTTGAGGGTGAAGAGCAGGAACCCCTGGGCTTATCATCCAGGGATGTTTCCTGATCTTAGCAGTACCAAGGTCTTGGATGTGGCTGTGCTGTAGGAACCTGGCCAGGTCTCTCCTTGAAGCGCTCACGTGCTGCCACATCGCAAGGCTCAGTGTGCATCAGACACAGGGCTGTCCCATGTCCCTTCCTGAGCCATGTGGAGGTACCTGCCAAGTCTCCTCTGCCCTGCTCCTTCCTGGCCATGTCTGAGACATCCTCGAAACCTGTTCCCTCTTGATTTGCCACCTCTTGCCTGTCTCTGTGTAGGACTGCAGGGGTTGAAGGCCCATGGTGATTTTGTTTGCTTTTGCTCTGCAGATGGGTACTCCCTGTCCGGCCACGCGGGCCAGTCCGCTTTGCACCCTCAGCCTCCCCTCTCGAGGACCACGGGCAACCACACACCAAGCACTCTGCTCCGGGAGAAGGACCTTGGGCAGCTGCACAAGAGCTCGAAAGAGGGCCTGAAAGACCCTGGTGGGAAGGAGCGAGCGTGCCGGAGTGATCTCTCCTTGCCCTTCACCAAGAAGGAGGGCAAGCCAAAGGAGGAGCCCCGGCCCCGCAGCGTGGTTGACCTCACACAGGACACCAAGCCCGACAGCGACCGGAAAGTGAGTGTGGTGGAGAAGGCGGTGAAGGTCGGTGAGCGTCTCTCACCGTTCCTGGCTGAGCACATGCCAAATCGGGGTGTGGGGAGAGGGGGAGCCACACTCA